CTTAACATAGATAAATAAATAAACATAGATAGCTTATGTACGCAAAATCACCAAGAATTGTACAGTCCGCGAACTCATACTTCTAGGGGTCAAAGTATACTTCAATGATAAGCGGGGTGGTTTGTTGTTTTAATAGAGTGTAAAATAACTCCTGGAATGGAACTATTTGAACAACAATATTTCACTGAGCAATATATCATATTGACGAGAACTGAAGAAGGACATGAGAAGGATTAAACAAACTTAAATTTCTCTCTACAGAACTCACGTACACCACAAGTACTCAATGACATAAGAACAGCCAATGTTCACAACCGACCTAGTTAATCTATATAATAGGAATATCTTTAAAACATATATTTATATCTTTCATTAAGTCTCTTTAAGATTTCTTCTAGTTTTAAATATGTCCTCAGACATTCAAGGAACCAAATAAATCTTTTCTTCTTCGTTTTTTGTATCAAGTTCATTCTGTTGATCAAGTTTTCTTCCTATTCTCCCCCACCATCTGGAGTAGGAATAGTTTAGGATATATCAAAAAAGTTTTGAAGAGAAGAAACGGTTTTCCCTTCTTTTCCCCTGACAACATATTTTCATCAAATATATTGTAAAGATAGAAAAACATGCTTTTGTTGTGGAAATATTAAAAATAAATCTGGGAAATGTTTAACAAGGTTTAGATCAAATCTTTTCAAAGAAATTAAAGAATTCTCTCTCAGCTAATATTCAATACTAAACCTAACTCCAGGATTATTTACGTTATTATTATTTATACCTTCATTTGTCTTTATCCCTCTCTCCTCATCCAATCTTATTCTCCTTGTCTTATTCCCTCCTCAGCCTACTCTGATACCCCTGTTTTTATCCCTCCCCATCTTACTTTACTCCCCCTTTATTAATCCCTCCCTCCCCATCCTATTTTACTCCCCCTGTATTAATCCCTCTCTCTCCATCCTACTTTGCTCCCCCTGTATTAATCACTCCTTCCTCATCCATTCTTACTTTCTTTGTCTTATTCCCTCCTCATCCTACTCTGATACCCCTGTTTTTATCCCCCCCCCATCTTACTTTACTCCCCCTTTATTAATCCCTCCCTCCCCATCCTACTTTACTCCCCCTGTATTAATTCCTCTCTCTCCATCCTACTTTACTCCCCCTGTATTAATCCCTCCTTNTCCCTCCTCATCCTACTTTGTTCCCCCTGTCGCAATCCCTCCCTCCTCATCCTACTTTGTTCCCCCTGTCGCAATCTCTCCCTCCTCATCCTACTTTGTTCCCCCTGTCGCAATCCCTCCCTCCTCATTCTACTTTGTTCCCCCTGTCGCAATCTCTCCCTCCTCATCCTACTTTGTTCCCCCTGTCTCAATCCCTTCCTCCTGACCTACTTTGTTCCCCCTGTCGCAATCCCTCCCTCCTCATCCTACTTTGTTCCCCTTGTCTCAATCTTTCCTTCCTAATCCTACTCTGTTGCCAATGGCAAAATAACCTTTGATGTAATATAGGTTTAAAAACTGGAGAACTAACAGTATTTCGTGGATCTAATTCTACGCTAGAAGATGGAAAATTAACCATTTTGGATAAATTACTTTGATTGTCCTAAAGATCCACTCTAACACTATCTATTTCTTCAATATCTTCTCCCCTTTATACACCCCTCCCCCTGCTCCCCTCATTTTGTTTCTCCTTATTTACAACCCTCCCCTGCTCCCCAATAGAGTGTAAAATAACTCCTGGAATGGAACTATTTGAACAACAATATTTCACTGAGCAATATATCATATTGACGAGAACTGAAGANCCCCCCTGTCCTCAAATATAGTTTCCCCTCCCTCTTTAATATTTCGCTGATGTTCTGAATACGCCCCGAGCTGAATAACCTAAACTCTGATGTTGCTTTTATCGACTTCAGAAAAAATGAATTATTGAAAAACTAGAAAATCATCAAAGGTTCAAACTTTAACCCATATGGATAAAACAACATTTGTTAAATTGCGTACGTAATTTACGTAATTTCACAAGTTTCAAATTTGTACCGAAAGAAATCACATTAAAACTGATATAGTTTGCAGTAACATGGTGCAAAAGGGTATTTTGAAACTTGGGCCTCAACTTATTACTCTCCTCAAATCAAACTTACTAATTCTTAAATATATCATAAGCATATATTCAAGCTATGAACTCTGCTTTAAGATTACATTGTCGATATTTGGTTTTGTACCATTAGGTTGCAGGGATTAGAAAAGTCGAGATTGAGACAATTCTTTAAACAAGTCACAGGGATTTTTCTTGAAACTTAACATTCCATATTTTCAATTGAACTAGTGTAGGGTTGGATAAATAGTTGAACTAGTGTAAGGTTGGATAAATAGTTGAACTAGTGTAGGGTTGGATAAATAGTTGAATTTGTGTAGGGTTGGATAAATAGCTGAACTAGTGTAGAGTTGGATTAATAGTTGAACTAGTGCAGGCACGTACACAAGGGGGGGCAGTATTCCTATTGCCCCCCCCCCTAGGAAATTTGAAATTAAAATGAAACTACGTTTAAAAAATAAGGATTTGTCTACATTCACTGTTAAAACAAAATTTTAAGTTAGTTTTTCGAGCAAAGGAATAATTTTTAGACTCTATAAGGTTAGTAACACCCAAAAATGTAGTCTTTTTGGTGTATTTTTATGGTATTAATTTACTTTTTGAACAAAACAATTCCAAGGGGGGGATAAAAAACAGTCAGGGGGGGCAAAAAAAGCCCCCCTGACTAAAATCCTGTGTACGCGCCTGAACTAGTGCAAAGGCTGTATAAACGACCAATCTTATCAAATACTGTTCCTGTATTAAACCAACAGAGGAACAAATTTTCCAAATTTTAAATTGTCCAATCACCAGCTTTTTGAACACAAATTTTACACAAGGGGGGGGTGGGAAGGGTGAAACCTAAATATTTAGGGATTTTATTTACAATATATGTTTGGGAAAAGTAATTGTTTTAATGTCCGCAATGTAAATATCTGTATACATATATATATGAATAAGCTAGCATCAAGATATATGTATTGTATGATATATTGGTCGGATTCCGGTGACATGAAGCGAGGATGGCGAAGGGGGGAGAGGGGAAGTAAGGGGCATTTTTGTGAAAAAGCAAATAAAAACTGAAACCACGGTACTGTGCCAAATGCCTCTGTGCACCAACCCTAATCTTCTTGAAACCACTGTGTGTCCCACTCCTAATGTCTTAAAACCACTGTGCACTACCCCTAATCTTCTTGAAACCACTGTGTGTCCCACTCCTAATGTTTTAAAACCACTGTGCACCACCCCTAATCTTCTTGAAACCACTGTGTGTCCCACTCCTAATGTCTTAAAACCACTGTGCACCACCCCTAATCTTCTTGAAACCACTGTGTGCCCCACACCTAATGTCTTAAAACCACTGTGTACCACCCCTAATCTTCTTGAAACCACTGTGTGTCCCACCCATCACCTCTTTGAAACCAATGTGCCCAACTCTGTCCTCCGTGAAACCAATGTGTCCTACACTCAATCCCGTGAAACCACTGCGCCACACCTCACCCTTCCATGAAACCAATGTCACCCTTCCCGCTCCCCTGTCTGAATCACATTGCTCCCCCCCCCCTCATTTAAACCACTGTGTCCAGTCCCTTCCCTTCATAATTTAATCGTCGCTACCTCCTGTACCCGATCCTTCTAAATTGTTCAAATATCAATTATTTACATGGTTCAGTTTGGTTTAAATAAAACAAATCTTAGGGTAACATTCTTTCTGTTTATTTATATTTAACTTTACGATGAAAATATGTAAATAAGCTGGATAAGGTATACAAGGAGGGGGGGAGGGGGGTTCTGCAATTGTGATATATTTTTTACATTTTGACAATTTCTACAAAAATGTAAAAAATTGTTGTTTGTCAGAATATTAATCGCGTATCCGTGTATTCATATGTCAGCAGGTTTGAACACGTGTAATTGAAAATATAAACTTGAATCTCGTGAATACTCTAGGGAGACATTAGACCAGTGTTATAAATTACACAATATCCCACCTCTCCCTCCTCCCTATAGGTATGGAGAGCAGAGGAGGGTTCGGAACCTGAGATCCGAGTTCGGAGAGAGGTATCAGAGTATACTGGGAGGATGCTTAGTCCTCCAGAAACCACCAGGACGGATACACACAGATCCGAGTACAACCTTCAGAGAGAGAGAGAGAGTTTATGGTTCAAACGATGAGCATTAATCCACAAAACCAACTCCGTGCGCTCAGCTCTTAACTTGTATAAATATTGTTTAAAAACAAGAAAAAAAAATTTTAAAAAGAAACAAAAACCTTGTTTATAAAAAGTAAACCAAAGACTCAACATGATTTAATATTCTAACTCTCCGAGTAAACGTATGTAAGAAAACAAATGATATGAAAATACGAATTAGGAATAAGAAGGTGATGATCGTGAATAATGTTTTGATTTATAAAAGTTTAAAATTGGTTTTTAATAATGAAACCAGTGCATGCATGCAAGTTAACGTTACACTTATTTTGTAATTACAATTTGGGATTACAAGTGGGGATTACAAGTTGGTGTACATGTGGCCGGTTAGAAGTGGGTTTACAGTGGGGGCTTACAAGTGGGTTCTAAATTGGGTTTAAAAGTGGGGTTACATTGAGGTTTAAAATTGGGCTTAAAAGTTGGTTTACAGTTTGGCTTACAAGTGGGTTTATAATTGGGTTTATATATGAAGTTTGAAATGGGTTTAAACTGAGTTTATAGCTAGGTTTACAAGTGTGTTTAAAAATGGGTTTTATATGGGTTTACATTTGGGCTTACATGTTGGTTTACAAGTATGTTTACAGGCAAGTGAAAAAGTAGGAGGGGGTGGAAGGGGAAGAGGAGGGAGGGGGAAGGAGAAGGGGGGGAAATACATTGTTTCAGCATGCATTTGCTAAAGAACAAAATTAAATCTTTCAGAAATCATTTAATTTTGTAACTAAAACTTTCCAGCAAAAGTGGTCATTGGTTAAAAAAATGCTCCTCTTAGTCTCAACAAGTGGGATTACAAGTGAGTTTAAAAGTGGGTTTACCAAATATGTTGACAAGAGGGTTGACAAGTGGGTTTTAAGACAAATGTTTTATAATGGGTTTACAAGCGTTAATAAGTGGGTTACCAAGTGGGTTTACATGTTGCGAAACAAGTGGGTTAACAAGTTGAACTTAAAGTGGGTTTACTAGTGCGTCTACTAGTGAGTTTACTAGTGGGTTTACAAGTAAAAATTAAATGGGGTTAAAAAGGTGGTTTACAAGTGGGTTCTAGGAAATAAGAAACAAATCAATATCCTTTCATTTTTATTTATTTAAACACTGGGTGCAAATACTACTTTAATTTTTTACTTTTTAAATTAATATTTATTTTGTGCAATGGTAATAGATAAAATTAGAGCAATTTGAAAATTATTGGAAACAATTCTGCGATTCTACCGGAGAAGATGTAAACAATAGATTGTAAGATAATGAGAGGGATCGGAGAAGATGTAAACAATAGATTGTAAGATGATGAGAGGGATCGGAGAAGATTGAGAAGATGAAATGGAACAAGTTTAAAAGTTTAAAGAGCTCTGTGTGCGTGTGTATGGTTGTGAGAGGAGAGGAGAGGAGGGGAGGTTTAGTTGCCTGGAGACAAATATAAACAAAATAAACTTTTCATTTTAGATAAATCAAATGGTTTAACGAGATGAGAATTCATACCGGAGCAATCCTTGGATTTGCTCTTCTCCTCCAGATACAGCTGGTACAGCTGAGCAAATCTAAACCTGGAACTCAATCCAATCTATTGAATAAAGGTGAGTTAGTGTATTCTCAGTCTGAAAGTATCCGAATATATTCAATTGATTTCAAACTTGAAAACCCGGAAATTCTTGTGAAATAAAAAGTTTTGGATCTTTGTGTTCATCAAAAAATTACTTTTTTTCTGATAAATCTAACGTCCGAAATAATTCTTTAAAGCCTTTGATTCGTTTTTAGACTTTTTATTAATTTCTAATCTTTTGTTTCTCTTCCTTTAACAAACACTTCTTCTGAACATTTCATTTCCTCTCGTAACCCTTTAAGCATATTTCTAAACTCTAGATTTTTTATTTTACTTTATTCAAACAAAGGTGAAAAAAGAGAGAAACAATTCTGTCAATGGTCAGGTTTATACTATGCTCAATGTATGTTGTGTAGCTATGAGAATATTAAGATGGGGGCCGGTGGGAAACCTTATTTTAAAAAGTAGCTGTTTTTTTTAAATTGGGTTCGTAGCTTATTACTTTTGTCTTTTAGAAAGGGAGAGAAGGCTAAGTGAAAAATTGTATGGGTTTTTTTTGTGTTTGGATTTTTTATACGCTAGGATGGGGGAAGGGGTTAGGTTCGGTGAATAGCTTATCAGTTTTGTGTGTTAGGAAGGGGGGGGAGTTTTTTGATGTTAGGAAGGGGGGGGGGCGTATTAGGTTAGTGAATAGCTTATCAGTTTTGTGTGTTAGATTGCCAAAAAACCTTTCTTATCCATTGAAGGTAGTATTTGCTAGAAAATGACAATGAATATACATTATGTTTAACATATTGAATATACACTATATATAATATAGACGACCTAGAAAAAAAGGACTAGGAATATCATGGAATAAAATCTAAATAATGTTCGCTGCTCTTCAAAACCCAATAAACAAACCTGCACTTTAAATATGTTCGTCAGACAAAAAAAGTTGAAATAATTTAAGTTTTATGTAATAATAATGAAGAGATAGGGGTTAGCAAGTTCAAACACAACAAATTGAAGATAAAAACAATGCAAAAACGAATGAATTTCTTTTGATTAAATCCTGATTATCTTTAATGCATCATCAATTAGGTTTTTATTAAACCCGTCATTTTTTATTTTTTTATTTAAAGAATAATTTTTTTCTTGATTAATTAAATCAATTTACGTTTGAAAAATTAAGGAAAATAATTTATATTTTTAAAGTTATAAAAATCCGAAAATACCTAAAAAATGTTCAATTTACTTGTGTCTCTTCATTTTTTGTCTGTTTTAGAATGTTCCAGATCTCTGGGTATGGAGACAGGAGATATAAAGGATTATCTCTGTTTTGTTTAGAATGTTCCAGATCTTTGAGTATGGAGACAGGAGATATAAAGGATTATCTCTGTTTTGTTTAGGATGTTCCAGATCTCTGAGTATGGAGTCAGAAGATATAAAGGTTTATCTCTGTTTTGTTTAGGATGTTCCAGATCTCTGAGTATGGAGTCAGAAGATATAAAGGTTTATCTCTGTTTTGTTTAGGTATGGAGTCAGAAGATATAAAGGTTTATCTCTGTTTTGTTTAGAATGTTCCAGATCTCTGGGTATGGAGACAGGAGATATAAATGATTATCTCAGTTTTGTTTAGGATGTTCCAGATCTCTGGGTATGGAGTCAGAAGATATAAAGGTTTATCTCTGTTTTGTTTAGAATGTTCCAGATCTCTGGGTATGGAGACAGGAGATATAAAAGATTCTGATATCTCTGCTTCTTCGTATTTTGACTATCATAGCGTTGGACCTCACAATGCAAGGTATTATAATTAATAATTATATTTTTTAATGATTTACAATGTTTTTTTGAATTAAGAACAATCCAGTGGGAGGGTTAGCATAGTCTGATCGTCACTGTTTGGTCAAACTTGCCTTATGTTTGATATTGTTATTACTTTATGATTAATATTTATTTTTTAAATTAAAAATTCTTCAATAAGTGCAACAATTGCAGTTGCTAGTGCACATATGACGTTTCTAGTGTAATACAGTTTTTCCTTTAGTTAAGTCTAGAAAACCAGATGAGTTGGAACCATTTTCAGTTTAGGCGTTTCAGTCAATTAAAAGTTTCCAGATTTGGTTCTTATATTGTGTTATCAATTATATTTGTTTAAAAATTTAATCTAAATTTATGCTAAATAAATTAATTTAAAAATATACTTGAAAAACTACATTAGTAACCCTTTATATAGTAAACTTTTTTATTTTAAATAAATCCTTTAGTTCCCTGGAAAACTTTTCATCGATATTCAGGATACATTTATCCTTCTTTATCTCCAATATTCTTATTCATTTGGAATCCATATTTAATTTGTTTCAAACCTTCATTTCCGTTTTCCAAACCATTTATCTAGCTCCTGCCTTCTAACCAATCCACCTCTGCTCAAGTATATTTTTTCCAAACCATTTATCTAGTTCCTTCCTTCTAACCAATCCACCTCTGCTCAAGTATATATTTTCTAAAATCCGCTAAATTAAAATTGAAAATTACTGCGATGCAAAGGAAAATTTCAAATATTAAATACTTTAATTTGAACTTAGGTTTCTCCCCAAGATTTTCATTTGGAGAATCATTAGGTTTCTTTTAGTTTAATTTTGAGGTAACACCAACATATTAAAGGAACTGAACTAGCGCTACAAACTCTAATCATCTGATCCATATATCTTGGCAACCTGATGGTATAAACCTTTGGTATTTTAAACTGAAACTATTTGTTCAAACAGAATTCATAATTTGTAATAAAACTATCATGTTACAAAGATATAGGGGCTAGAATATTAGAATTTGTGGCGACTGTTCAGTTTCTGTTTTATGTGTCTTGTTTACATCTGAGTCTGAGATTTTAAACTTTAATTGAAGTTTCAAGTTTTTATCCAAATAGAATTTATAAAGATCATTTTAGAATTTTATATTCACCATAATCAATTTGAAACCAAAACAATTTTGACATTTTTATCCAGAAAAGCTACACCCACCAGAACTCTAAGCAGAAATGTAAAAAAAGCAAAAAACCTAAATTATTAGTCTTTTCTCTAATTCTTCCATAAAAGAATTAAATATTTGCCACAAACTCTGATATTCTGATATTTTGCAACCCAATATTTGAAACTTTGATTCTAACAATGAAATAATCTAAGTTTCAAATATCAAAGGTAATCAGATTGCAAAGATATTGGGATTAGAAAATTTGAGTTTGTGGAAAAGACTCAATTCATTTATAAGCTTAAAAAATATAAAACCTGCTCAGGGTTCGTCAGGATATCCGGGGAGGAGCCTGGTGTCCTCGCTCCGTGATCCAGGTCGGGGTGGAGGAATGGCTGGAGGTTAACCTACACACGGAGCACTGGATTACTGGAGCAGAAACCCAAGGAAGGTTCGGAGGAGGTCAGGGACAGGAGTTCACGGAGCAGTATCAGATTCAATACTGGAGAGAGAGCATAGGTAGGATTTTTAAAATCTTACTTTTTGTCGGCGAAAGATAAGTTGAATTACAGCCATAATCATTATACAACTAGAAAACTTTTAATGATTCTAAAAAAACATGTAAGAATATATCACACTAGGATTTTAGAACATTATATAAATTGTATTTTAATTAATTTCTATGATATGACCATAGCCTATAGATAGATAAAAAGCTTAATCCTGGTATTTACTCCGCTAAATCTAGACTTAAGTTCAATATCCTTGAACTAAACTCTGTGCTCCGGGTTGAAGGTATACCTTGATGTGGAGGTTTTAATCTTGTCAATATGTTACAATATTGGATAGGACGGAGTGACAAGGAGATTTGTTTCTATCTATATGTAGAAGGTTCCCAGCAGGAGATTAAGGATGAACAGGATCAGAAAGTAAATCAAGGAACTTTCTATGCACGGAAATCAGAATAATAATAGATTGGGGAAGTGAAATAAGATCAAATACGTTTGGCAAATTAATGAGTTCAGTTCAAAAAGCCACAGAATGTCGTCTTTTCATTATTTAAAATGATTTTAGGACATTTTAAGCCTGAATCTTATCAATTTGCCGTTAGAAATGAATAATATTAATTTCTTTGTGGATAAACTTTATCCTACAACAGATTATATTGTTTGGTTTGCAGTTTTTGGCCCTTTTAAACCAAGGTTTTTTACCTTGCTCACTTTACCGGCCTAAAATTCTGCTTGAGACTAAAAGAAAACTATGCTTGATGACATCTAACAAATTTTGTTTTAAAATATTTGGTATTTTTCATACAAATAAGATGCGTAACAAAGTCATAATATTTTAACTTTAATTTAGCACGAGGAGCAAGAAAGCAATCATTTAACTGATTCTTAGTTTATAGCCGTGTCGTTATTTTTAGCACCTACACAGGATTAATTTATTTAATAACTAGAGTTTTAATGTTGATTGTTTGAATTCCAAACCAATACATCAGCCGATGACGTCATATACAAGTGTATACACAGTATTCGGATAAATTCCTTATGCATTATTTTCTACTATTGGACTATCTTTGGTTCTGTTTATTTAGAATGAATCAGGATTTTTTCAATTTTTTTTCTGGAAAAACTGAACACTAGCCTCAAACTCTATTTTAATCTTTTTTATCTTTGCAACCTGATGTCTCAGAACTTTGATTTCAAAGTAATTATTATGCAGGGTTACCCACAAAGGATGAGACTTCATGAGACGATTGTACGCAATTTCTTTAGTCCGTTTTCTTGCATTCAGGATTCCTTGTAGGCCAAACCTGGCCTAATTCTGTGCTTAATCATTTAGTAAACCATCAAAATACCCAGTTGAGTGCAGAAACCAAAAATCAAGCTTAAAATCGTCATACGTTTAGAGTATTGGGTCTCATCCGTAGTGGGTAACCCTTTGTCATGCTTTCAAATATAAAAGTTGACCAAATTTTAGGCCATTGTCACAGTTGACGAAATGTATTTATTGACGAAATGTAAAATTGACGAAATGTAAGTTGACCAAATGTAGTAATTGACGAAATGTAAGGTTGATCAAATATAAATTGACGAAAAGTAAGTTGCCCAAATGTAAATTGACGAAATGTAATGTTTAACAAATGTAAATTGACGAAATGTAAGTTGACGAAATGTAAGTTGACCAAATGAAAGTTGACCAAATGAAAGTTGACCAAATGTAGTAATTGACGAAATGTAAGGTTGACCAAATGTAACTTGACGAAATGTAAGTTGACCAAATGTAAATTGACCAAATATAGTAATTGACGAAATGTAAGGTTGACAAAATATAAATTGACGAAATTTAAGTTGACCAAATGTAAATTGACCAAATGTAAATTGACCAAATGTAGTAATTGACAAAATGTTAGGTTGACGAAATGTAAATTGACGAAATGTATCCACTCCATATTATAATAATTAGTCAAAGTTTTAAATAAAACAGGTGGTAAAGATATAAGGATTAGAAAATTCGAGTTTGAAGCAAAGTATTCCTGATACTATACCGGTACCGGCAATTGCAAGATCTCTGTGAGCTTGGGGGGGAAACGATCGTATATTCAAGCTTTAAAAACTTTAAAAGTTTTAATGCATGTTTGAAAGCAGAAAACTTCAACTGAGAATAGAGAAAGAAGATAGAATAATCAATTATATTGTTATGATGTTATCAAAACAAAATATTTAAACAATACAGTGATAAACAGAGAACACTGGCATAGGAAGACGACATTATATCAATTATATAAGTGTAGCTGATTTTGATATAAAAAAAAAATAGTTTAATATTGGTTTGTGTACACTGCACAATTTCTGTGTCTCATGTGCTCATGGACTTTTTAAAGTTAAAACTTGATTTTAAAAGTCGTCTTCCTATTCCAAAGTTTTCTGGTTATCACTGTACAATATTAAATCCTGCAAACCCTAAGTCTGGATTTCTATAAATTGTAAAGTATATCATGAAAACTGACTATATTTGTTTATTTTGAATTCTGGTTCTGTTTACTCAGACTCCTACTAGGATATAAAGGACGGATTATGTGTCTATACCCAGTACCCGGATACCAGTCCCAAATATGCTAAATTTTAATGTGACGATGTACACTGTACATTGTACACTCAGTACAGAGATGGAAACTTTTGTTTTGAGTACTCGATCATAATCCCGGTCTCCTGATCTCGATATCTGTTGTTGGCCCTTTTAATTTTAGAATCAATGCTTAATCTCTTGATTTTAATTATTCTTTCAGGGTACAATGACACCATGAGGATATCGAATATAGATAAAACTAATCTACGGATTAACAAAAGATCGAAATCAAGCATTGATCTCGATATTCATAATACAAGAGTTCCTTGCTTGGGGCAGAACATTTTGTAACATTAAATATTTTTTTTAAAGGTGTGTATGCAAAATATCCAGGGTTCTTTTAGTATTCTATCCGCTTTTGGCGGTTGAAAGCCTTAAGATTATCCAATATGATATTGCACGTTCTTGTAGAATTATACAAGTACAAGGAAAAGCTTCTCCTAGATTGGGAATTATATCAAGAGAAGTTTTGAAAGATAAGGGTATGTAGTTGTGAACAAACAAAATAGATAATATTCAACCATTATATATGTTAATAATCACCATTTGTTAGTTTATAATTTTTATAAGCTAATTATTTATCAAAATTTACAACGAACTAAATTTTTTTTGACAAACTTAATATTCAATCTGTAAAATGTCTTAATAGAATGCATATATCCCCAGTATATATATAAATTATCCAACATTTATACACAGATCGGTAAACAAATTTGATTGGTATTTTTTCGTTATTTTTTGTATTAACTGAACATGGGAATTTTTATTTTTGGTTGAAAATCTAGAATTTTGAGTTTGGGTTCATTGTGCACAAAGTCAAAGTACGGTACACAATCAGTAACGGGAAAATACTTTAACACCCCTCCAAGTTAATAAAAAAAAATTAAATCGCACATTCGACAATACATCTACAATCTACTTCTCTGTGTAATATTCATGAGACGCAAACAGTTCTTATTAGACCACTCTCCAGTATATTGATAGAGTAGATACAACCAGCTTGAATAGAAATGGGAAATAAAAAATAAAACAATATATTTCCTGATAAAGCCAAGGTTATGATACATAACTGTAATAATAACCTCTAGTTCCTAGCTGTAAACGAAAGATAAGGTTTCTGATATTAATTTCTATCCCTGGTTTTATCTCCGTATTGTTTCCAGGAGACTGGGTAACCTACAGAAACCATTCTGGACATGGTTTACTCCAGGGTAATGAAAATACTTACATCACAAACTACGAGGTAAACTAAATATTTTCATTCTTCTCAACAAATACAATCTATTTAATTAAAATAAAGTGGAGAAAACAAAACTTTAAGGTTTTTAAAATCATTATGTCAGTTTTAAGAAAATATATTTTTTCATTCTAGGACCTGGACCCGTCTCCTGTGGCGAGTAAGGTTAGATTTCTTCCGTACAGTTCTCATCCGCGTACAGTTTGCATGCGCGTTGAGGTGTACGGTTGCTTGTACACCAATCCAGTTTTGACGTACAGCGCGCCACCTGGCGACGAGTTTTCTCCAGGAGTTTATCTCGAGGATGTGTACGACGGTCAGATTCAAGATGGCGGAGCTAGACAAAATGGCGGAGCTAAACAAGGATTAGGAGTTCTCACAGATGGACGGATAGGAAGAAATTTATCGTATACCGATCAGGGGTTAAACTCAGGTATCCTCATTAAATCAGCACATTAAACCCTTCCACAGTTCAAGTAATTTTAACAATTTGTTTTAAACCGATAGTTCAGAGATAGTTCATGGATAGTTCATGGATAGTTCCCGCCTTTATACTTGGTTATTTATGCGTAGATCTCAGTATGCATAAATTTATATCTATTCCTAGCACCTGGTTGGGTTGGATGGAGGAACAAGAAGAATCCTCTGCAGCTGGAGTTTAAGTTGAAAACTCGTATGATGATTTCCGGAGTAACTGTCTCATGCTATCATAAACCGGATATGGGTATTCAGGTAGAAACACTTTTTCCGAAGAGAACCTTTGAACCATCAAGCATTATGTTAAAAAATTGTTTACATTGGCGATAAACATTAAAAATCTTGAAAATAGTTATATAATCATACATTTGTGTATTCCGAGTCCACATTATACAGATTTGAAAACAAATTTAGAGAAGGAAATTATAAATTAATATATTCCTTGTAGAAGGAAATTATCTTCAATATTCTCCTTTATCTTATCTTCCATCCTTATTCAATTATTGTATACTCCCCCCGCCGGCGTGGTACCACAAAAGTATTAATGTCATTCATGCAGTACTAAATACGTTTCTTTGATATTGAATGTCGTCTTTTATGTTAGCAAATATAACCTTGTCTTTCCAATTCAATAAAATGATTGAAAATTCAGAAAAGAAAAAGTTACAACTCATGCTGATTATTACAAATTTAAGTTTTTCAAACTAAATATCAATTTATTATTTTGTTTTTTTCAACAAAAGCTCTGTCTCTGGATTTTTCAGAAAAACTCATTGGCTTTAAAATGAATTCCCCCCTATCCCTTCCATTCCTACCCCTCTTCTCCATGCTCAAAAAAAGTTAGTTTATGTATTTTTGTATCAGTTTAACATAAAATAATCAATTACAACTGCATTACCAAAATTAGCAAAGTTTTGATTGTCCTGACTAGATTCATTTTTTTCTTTTTAGAAGAAAATCACTTCTATTTATTCATGATGAATATTTAAACGGAAAAATACCACATTTTCTGTAAATAAGACTTAGTAACTAAATACTTGCATTAAACTCCAAAGGAATTGAGTCTCTGCCTCTAACTCAAATTTTCTAATCCTTATATCTTTGATGGAGATAAAACATATTCTGTTTAAGCTTTATTTGACGCCATTTAAAAACCAATTATGACAACATTTTGTTAAAGGATTTTTTCCTTTAGTTTTACATTTGATAAAATTAAAGTTTTAAAGTTTAATCTTTGATTGGTTTCCAAATCATGGATTTTAATCTTAGCTTTTCACAGGTTTTCAAACAGATTCAAATACGGGTTGGAAATGGTTCTGGGAAACCCCAGCTTGTGATTCTCAGCTCCAGCTCTGATACTGTAGTCCCGGGGTTAAATAATCTCCAGCTTAAAGTGCCAAACATCACTGCGGAGCAGTTCGTCCTTAGTATAGAGTTCAAGGACAAGTGGATTCTTATTTCGGAGATTAATTTTTCAACAATACCTAGCGGAGAAATCAAAAACTTTGCGGAACCAGAAACGAAAACCATGAAACCAAAACCTAATCCTAATCCAACCTATGAAGTTGAACCTGAACCTGACTCCGGGTCCGGAGATGTATCAGAAGAAGGAGAAAAATCCCCCGAGGTATTGAAGGATATTGAAGATCCAAACCAGGATATGCCTGACTCCCACAAACCGGAAGAGAGGGAGAAGAATTCGTTTCCGGTAAATATATATACTCACTCTCAGATTCCGATATATTCCTTTTCATGTATATTCTGCATATATTTCTTTTCATTTCTATTGATTTATTCACGTAAATATATATATCTATCATTTTCTGCAGTATAATCAGGGGCAATCCTTCTAATATCATTACCCTGCAGTAATCCGTTCAAGAATATATTATATTTTATCATATAAATATATTTATGTTTTATAAAGGGTTACCGAGAAAATATGAAATTTTATTCTTATTTTTTTATGCTAGCCTTAGAGGGCGCTTCGCGCCCATCTTCTAAATTAATTGTGAACATGTTCTCTTTGTGTACATCGTAAAACAAAACAAAAATAATTCGCGGATTTTCACAAAAAATTTCGTGGATTTTCAAAATTTTAAAAAATTTAATGGAGATCGAATTTTGATGGAGACAAATATTTGAAATTTTGATCATTCATACCTGGGGTCCCTAGATGTCCCACAAAAAAATTGGGCCCGATCGGTTCAGCCGTTTTGACGTTTATTGGATACAAACAGACAGACAGACAAGCCAAATTTATATATAGAGAAATCAAAGGATTCGCAAAAAAAAGAACTGATATTTTTCAAAGAAGAAAATGAAGGCTTACTTTAACAAAATGTCTTTCTTACACGACGCATTTACATACTTTTAGATTTTAACCTTTTTTAATTGCAAAAACTTATTCCTAACAGTTTATCCTTATTTGAGATTCTTGCACAATTACAAAAAAGGACTAAACATCCCATTTTTAATTTTGTCCCATGAAAGAGACTTTTAATAATAACCTATAAAGTCCCAAATATTTTTTAATTTAGTACGTATTGTGGATGACTTTTTTTAAACTCAAGAATATGCAAATATAAATTTATGAATTCATAAGATTAGATTACATAAAGTTACAGAGTAATCTTATATTAGTTTTTTTTCCATTTGTTGGCAATTATTGATAAATTATTGTCCAAAACTAATAAAGATTAAATGTGATTTCCTATAAGTTTGTCCATAAAATCTCCGAGTTTTAATACTCCGTCTCTTTAGGAGAAGATGAATGATAAGAGTGAGACGTATATCGGAGTTGTGATTGGTATTCTCTCTGTAACCGTCCTTCTCCTCCTCTCCGCTATCCTCCTTATTCTAAGGAAAAATAGGCAGAAGATTTTCTCTAAACATTCAAGTAAGTTTTCTCATCTGAAGATACAAAATTGGCATCAAATTTTTGTACTTCTGTGTACTAAAAGTATTATTTCTAATTTGTAATAAAACTATTTTATATTTTAGTGTTGAAAACACATATGGAGAAGAAAAATGGGAACCTAACAATGAAGGAGATGCGTCTTCGACTTAGTCCTCTGAAGTCAACCTCACATTCTTTACAAGGACCATTCGGACACCTGGAGGAGTCGGACACAGAGGACGGATCCATGTACCAGGAACCATTCAGGTTGGTGGATCCTAACCCAGAGTTCCGAAAGCTTGTGAAAAACTACAGCTGCGGTAGGTTGTGTGATTACGATGATTTCGGATCCTTGAATCCAGGAGCTTCAAACAAGTTTGGTTCTACTCCACTCTTTAACCTTCAAACCAATGATAGAATGAGAAAACCAACCACGTCTAAATCCTTTACAAATAATCTGTATGAGAAGGATTACAGGAAACCCAGTTTTGATCCAGGATACTCAGTTCCGATCAGTAAATCAAGACACAGTCTAGCTCCGGCTCTATCCGTCCCTGCACCAGAGGAAACATTCTACGCGGCGACAGATATTATCAAGGTAAAATATTAGATTAATAAAACTTGTAAAAAAATGAATCCAATGACAATATATAAATGGTTTATAAAGTGTACAGTTATTCGTTAAACTGAGGCCGAATTTAAAGAATTTGAGCCGCGGCTTAAATTTGAGACGGAGCTCAAATATGGATAGTTCCACTTAAAACTGTATTTAATGTTTCAAGATTTAAGCTGGCGTTCAATTGAAACTGGTTTTTGAGGGTTTTGAGACGCGGCTCAAATTCATTAAATTCGGACTTTTAAAAGTTGAACATTAAGATATTGAGAGTTTCTGGCTTTTTTTATATTCATTTCTGAAATATGAAAACTAAACATAGCAAGAATACATTTCGCTTTAATTTTTGTTAAACAATTCCAAAATTGCTGACTATATTTTATATTTGATAATTAGTTAATAATTAGTTTAGAAAAATATATTTTATGGCATTCAAACAAAAAAGATTGTAAAATTGTTTTAAAAAAAGTTATCCGTATCTGTATGAGTTTATATAATATTTGTTAGTAAATGTATTCGGATCTGTATGTGGGTATACATTTATATAAGATTTGTTAGTAAATGTATCCGGATCTGTATGAGTGGTATACATTTATATAATATTTGTTAGTAAATGTATCCGGATCTGTATGAGTGGTATACATTTATATAAGATTTGTTAGTAAACGTATCGATGATCCAAGATTAATGATAAAGACTGTTCTAGCGAAATCTGATCAGAGCTATTAGAACTCATAGATTATTCAACAGACAAACCATAGATCATACATCACACGTTGTAAACACATTTTTAACAGTTTCACGCTACGCTAAGTTCAGATTTAATATTTTTTATTTTTTTATTCTGCTTAATTCATTAACTATTCTGTTAGTTAGAGGTGTATCGTGTTTATAATAGTTACAAATAAAAAAATAATTTGTATTAAAACAAAAATAAAACAACTCTTGCATATTTACAAAAGGAACTGATTCTCGCCATCCAATTTTAATTTTCTAATCCTTATATATTTTCCCCACTTAGTAATAACCTATATGACATTTCAAACAGTGTCTTAATTGTTGAATTTTTTTTTAATAAAAATATTGCAATTTCTGCAATAAGAATCAATATTTTAAGAATGTAATTTTTTTTTAAATCTCATAATAATACTGGACAATATTTCATTTTATTTTAACTATTTTAGGAGACACGAAGACGAGATTGTCGGACAAATTCATTGACATGCATGCTCCTTCCTCAGGGTCCCTTGAACCAGTGGAAGGACGGATCTGATCCATGGATATCTCAACCTTCTCCCCCGGATAGACCCATTCCTGATCTTAGTAGGAAGAATTTGAGACTTGTTAAGAAACTTGGAGAGGGAAAGTTTGGTTTGGTAAGACCAGGATTCCTTTTTTTACAATATTTTAAACTCCGGATTCCATTTTATTCATTCTGAAACTTCCATATCATTCTCTTCCTACTCACTAGATAAGAAAAATTGCTGACGAAAAAATCAAAATAATTATTTATTCACGATTCTAGATTGTATATTATCTTTTCTCCATTCCACCTCGTAAGATTCAGTAGGTTGGATCATATATGGAGATTTTACCAAATACCGTTTTAGTACTCAGAAACCGGAACTAGGAAGTACAAGTATTATATCTTTTCTCCGGTTTCACCGCTGGAGACATTTAGTCTTTATTGTTGGCTCTTACCTTGAATCCCTTGATTCTCTTCAGTTTTATTTATTTCTTAGTTTTAATTCTATTCTTCTTTGTTCATTGTTTTCTTCTTTAACCATTGTTTTCTTCTTAATTCATTGTTTTCTTCTTTATTCATTGTTTTCTTCTTCCTTCATTTTTTCTTCTTTATTCATTTTTTCCTTCTTTGTTCATTGTTTTCTTCTTTCTTCATTGTTTTCTTCTTTATTTATTGTTTTCTTCTTTATTCATTGTTTTCTTCTTTATTCATTGTTTTCTTCTTTATTCATTATTTTCTACTTTATTCATTGTTTTCTTCTTTATTCATTGTTTTCTTTTTTATTTATTGTTTTCTTCTTTATTCATTGTTTTCTTCTTTATTCATTGATTTCTTCTTTATTCATTATTTTCTACTTTATTCATTGTTTTCTTCTTTATTCATTGTTTTCTTTTTTATTCATTGTTTTCTTCTTTATTCATTGTTTTCTTTTTTAAGCATTGTTTTCTTCTTTATTCATTGATTTCTTCTTTATTCATTGTTTTCTTCTATATTCATTGTTATCTTCTATATTCATTGTTTTCTTCTTTATTCATTATTTTCTTCTTTATTCATTGTTTTCTTCTTTATTCATTGTTTTCTTCTCTATTCATTGATTTCTTCTCTATTCATTGATTTCTTCTTTATTCATTGTTTTCTTCTTTATTCATTGTTGCCTTATTTATTCATTGTTTTCATCTTTATTTATTCACCGTTTTCTTTATTATTCCTATGTTTTCCTTTGACTTCCAAAGGGTTTTACTTGATATATGCTTGTTTCTTGATTTATATTTTAATCTTAAATTTCTAGTTTTCTTCTAAACTCTTATTTTTATTTTTATTTTTTTTAAATTGATTTGAGTTTTTGACTAATTCTCGAGTTTCAGCTTAAATTTTCTATATACATCTTGATTAATAGTTTTCTTCTCAGATCGTATTTTTTTTCCGGTTTTTTGTGTCTCTATTCTTGATTACATTCTTGAACTTTCGACTGATTTTTTAATCATCTTCCTTGATTCTCATTTTCTTATTTTATCTTTTTTTTATTAAGTTCTCCTCAGTCCTCATGTTAGATTTTTATTTTCAATTTGCCTCTCGAGTATTTATTCTTGAATCATGGTTTTCATTTTGACGAAAAGTTTTCTTAAGCTGGTATTTTTCTGAACTGCACTTGAAACTTTATCTTTTCTCCGGAGAGAGATATTAAATCTCTCTGGAAGAACAGTTCTAAACTTGAAAGGTAGGTTGACTAGATTCAGGTTAAAAACACTTGAGAGCTAGGTTGAGAGTATTCTAGATTGCATCTAGGTTAACAAAACCTGATAAGTACAGGGTGTCCCAAAAAAACGATCTTTAAGACATTGTAGCACTCACTATGGTTCAATTTTTTAAAAAGTTTACATTTTTAAAATCTTTGGAACATTTCCGATTGATTGATATCAATGAGAGGTATGTAGCACTAAAATTAAGAAAGTATTGACCGTTTAAAGTTTGTCATTTTGGTTTGGTTGAGTTCATATATTATTTTTTTAGAATTTTAAACATATTATGGAATCTTATCAGGGTCTGAAAAACATGCAAATCTTTTAAACAAATCTTAAAAATGCAGTTATTGTTAAGTAATGGCAAGACCTAAGTTTACAACACAGGAAAGTAATATAATTCCTTGCTGTTGAGTATCACAAAAGAAAGGGTCACAGAAACTTTATGCCTGGTCTTATTATGGACTTTTGGGCGCAAATTTCCAAATGCAAGACAGCTTGCTTTATGTCATGAAAGAAGAATTTATAAAAAGGTAATAGACTAAGGGAAGTACTTAATTTGAATAGTAAGACGAGTCCTGGGAATACATCCAGTGCAGAAGATCCCGACATGTCAGAACTCCTAAAAATGTTGTCATGGTTGCTGCAGTAATGAACAGAGATGCTGTCAAACACATAGGAGCTAGAAATACTTTAATTTTTATTTCTGCAAGAAGGAACTCTTTGATGTTAGGCAAGTCCAGCTAGGTCAAGGATAGCAAGTAATATGAAATATCCCCCATATTGGCCAATCAGAAGGAAGGAACTTAAACCTGAAGATTTACCAAGAAGGATCTAGTTTTGTACCTGGATTTTCAACCAAGCAAAAATGGCAAACTTCAAATGGTCAATACTACCTTCATTTCATTCCTATGAACCTCTTACTGGTTCCGATCGATCAGAAATGTTACAAAGATTTCAAAAATGTACAAATTTTTAAAAATTGAACCATAGTGAGTGCTACAATGTCTTAAAGATCGTTTTTTTTGGGACACCCTGTAGGTTGAGAGTATTCTAGGATGGACCTAGGTTTTGAAAACCTGAGTGCTAGGTTGAGAGTATCCTATTGATTGTATGCTAGGTTAAATCTAGGTTCAGAAAACCTAAGAGAAGGGTTAAGAGTATGCTAGGTTGGATCTAGGTTTAGAAAACCTAAGAGAAGGGTTGAGTGTATGCTAGGTTAGATCTAGGTTCAGAAAACATAAAAAGAAGGTTGAGTGTATGCTTGGTTGGATCTAGGTTCAGAAAACCTAAGAAGAAGGTTGATTGTATGCTAGGTTCAGAAAACTTAAGAAGGAGGTTGAGTGTATGCTAGGTTCAGAAAACCTAAGAAGAAGATTGAGTGTATGCTAGGTTGGATCTAGGTTCAGAAAACCTAAGAAGAAGGTTGAGTGTAGCTAGGTTGGATCCAGGTTCAGAAAACCTAAGAAGAAGGTTGAGTGTATGCTAGATTCAGAAAACCTAAGAAGAAGATTGCGTGTATGCTAGGTTGGATCTAGGCTCAGAAAACCTAAGAAGGAAGTTGAGTGTAGGCTAGGTTGGATCCAGGTTCAGAAAACCTATGAAGAAGGGTTGAGTGTATGCTAGGTTCAGAAACCTAAGAAGAAGGTACTCAAGGAATGCTAGGTTGGATCTAGCTTCAGAAAACCTGAGAGAAAGGTTGAGTGTATGCTAGGTTGGATCTAGGTTCAGAAAACCTAAGAGAAGGGTTGAGTGTATTCTAGGTTGGATCCAGGTTCAGAAAACCTAAGAGAAGGGTTGAGTGTATGCTTGGTTGGATCCAGGTTCAGAAAACCTAAGAGAAGGGTTGAGTGTATGCTAGGTTGGATCCAGGTTCAGAAAACCTAAGAAGAAGGTTGAGTATATGCTAGGTTGGATCTAGGTTCAGAAAACCTAAGAGAAGGGTTGAGTGTATGCTAGGTTGGATCTAGGTTCAGAAAACCTGAGAGAAGGGTTGAGTGTATGCTAGGTTTGATCTAGATTCAGAAAACCTAAGAGAAGGGTTGAGTGTATGTTAGGTTGGATCTAGGTTCAGAAAACCTAAGAGAAGGGTTGATGGTATGCAAGGTTGGATCTAGGTTCAGAAAACCTAAGAGAAGGGTTGAGTGTATGCTAGGTTAGATCTAGATTCAGAAAACCTAAGAGAAGGGTTGAGTGTATGCTAGGTTGGATCTAGGTTCAGAAAACCTAAGAGAAGGGTTGAGTGTATGCTAGGTTGGATCTAGATTCAGAAAACAAAGGATTGAGAAGAGCAAGAAACCCTTCTGTCAATGTTTTATACCAATGAGGAAGTTAATTAAGCAAACTCAATAGATCTCTCTTTAGACAATATATTCAGCTTTATTTCTTTTATTAGGTTTATTCTACTTCCTTAATTAAAGCCGATACGACCTCTTCTCTTTAATACTTCCTTGTTTACTTCCGGATTGTAAATCCAAGATTCAAAATCTAGAGAAAATTTTTTATGTTTAGAGACGAGTTTCTGAGTGCCGGACGACTGCTAGGAAAACTCTCCCATCCCAACCTATCCTTGGTAGTTGGTTTCTCAAGACAAGATGATCCGTACTGTATACTCTCTGAGTACCTGGAGTACGGAGATCTTTATCAGTTCTATCAAACCAACAACACTTTCTTGTCTGCGGAGGATGCTCTGGAGTTTCGGTAAAAGATATAATCAAACGTAAAGGATGTCAAAAATCAGCGCGAATTAAAAAGATGCTTAAAAATGCCCGTTTTTCATAGAACCTATATCTCTTTCACACTCCGTAAAGCTTTTATTTATTTTTTTTAACATTACAAATCAATCTATAATTTTTATTTCTAAAAGTTGTTAGTTCATCGTCGAAAAATACTAACAATCCACCACTAATTTATATTAAATATAGTGTAAACAATAAATATGTAACTTTCCTTATCCTTTCCTTTCCTTTTCCTTTTATTTATATTTTTATATTTTTTAGAACATATTGTTTTTGTTATATTTCATAAATAAATAATTTTTTACTACTTACTTAAAATATATCCTTGACTCCCCTGACAGTTGCGCATGTGCCCCTATAAACAAATATACTTATATACCTACCCTTACACTCCTTATACTCATCCTTTACTCCCTTGCATTACATTCTTCAATAATAGTCCCATAGCCACTAATTATAATTATTTGTAAACTTAAAGGGACTGTAAGTGTAATTTCCAGTGACCTTTCATGCAAAAATGGCAATTCCCGATTCACAACGGTAGCCTCAAAATCTTTGTTATGATCAAGTAAAGAATTTGATATCAATGTTTATAATTTTGAAAAGTAATGTTTTAAAATTGTGGCTTTTTCCACAAAAGTGACTTGCGCATTTCTACTTCAGAAAACATTCAGAAATCGACAATTTTAAACCTAGAAAACCATCTCTGCATGTAGGGTAGCATGAAATTACGCTTATAGCCCCCCTATGCTTCTATGTAAACTACTCTCATATTACAACTCCCAAATTTCTCCTTCACTCCCCTGATTCTTACCTTCTCTGCGTATACCTTTTTTTTATAAAAATATATCACCTTAACTTTAAAATGAATCTAATATCATGAAATATTGTATTTCAGGCCAAATTGTATAAACCGTACATGTTGTATAGTTCAATATAACACAAAACCTAAGAGA